AGTATGTTATCCTATGACTTTCACTGTGGAACAAAATAACAGCAGTTCTTTTTGCTGATTCTGTTACGTAATTCAGTGATCCAACTCTTATGATGCCCTTATAGATGTTGATCTTCAATTGTTCAAGGTGTCCAGAAAGGTGCTTCTTATCTGTTGCAAGCAAAGGACCTTTCACTTGGCAATCTCGTCTTTTATGTTTTTTCCCGTTCAAGATTTTACATTTAGGTGCTCAAGAGTTGGGCTAATGGAATTATCCATGTCAACGAACTTAATAGTATACACTGTCTGAGAAGACTGTTGTTAACTGCTCGATCCCCTGGTATACACTACCCTGATTTTTCCCCGTCAATTAACTTTAATTATCGTAAGTGGTCCTCTGACCACTCTTTAGTACAGTCAATTTAGACACCTAGTTGCAAAGGAATGAAACTAAACAACCATACTACATGCTCAAACTTGAGAAACTAGGTGAGGTGACATAGAACTAGTGTTTCCATTCTAAATTATTTGGATTTGCATTAGCTACAAATTTTTCGTCTCAACACTAGAGCGCCGAGAGAAGCTTTTGTTTCTAAGGAAAAAACCACAAAGTACCGTCATTGTAGCTTGACAATACAGATCAAGCAAAATAGGAATGTTGAAATCCTGTGTTTTGGCTCCTTGGTGCACGTCCTGCATAGACCACATCTAAGAGATACGAATCATGAATGTGATGGACATACATTTTGTTCCCCAGGTACGACTATTCTGGTTATGGGCAATCATCAGGAAAGGTAATTGCTGCCGAATCTTTTCTACGCTGCACTCTCTTGCAATGGTTATGGAACTACGTCATTTGGATTATGTTTCGTGCAGCCAAGTGAGAACAATACATATGCAGATATTGAAGCTGCATACAAGTGTCTTGAAGAGAATTACGGTGCTAAGCAGGAAGACATCATTCTTTATGGCCAGTCAGTTGGAAGTGGGCCCACTGTGGATCTCGCAGTTCGCTTACCTCGCCTAAAAGCTGTTGTTCTGCATAGTCCAATTCTATCTGGGTTGAGGGTCATGTACCCTGTCAAACGCACATATTGGTTCGACATCTACAAGGTACTTCTCTTTGTGCCTGAGATAGTCTGGACTCAAGCGTATCATAACTAATATTGGCCTTTTAGCTAACCTTATCTAGTGTAGTGGAACTAAACAGAGTTCAATGTGTCTTCATGCAGAACATTGACAAAATCCCGCTGGTGAAGTGTCCAGTGCTAGTTATCCACGTGAGTACCTTAATCTTTTGGAGCTGCAATAATAGTTATGACAATGGATTCTTAAGTTCATCAACTCACCATGTGCATTACCTGCAATTTTCGTATTCCATAAGTACAGACTATAGCACTTGTCAGTTTAGGGTTTGATGAGGTTGGAATGCTAAACTAGACTCATCAAACGGTCGGGTCGGGTTGGGTCCCGACCCATATTGCTAAAACAATTCAATATTTAACCCAATCTAGGAAAACCCATACCCAAACTGAGGTGAGAGCGCAGAGTGAGCAAGTGCGAGATTGAGTGAGAGCAAGAGAAAATTAAGAGAGAGTCAAAGAGATGGGTCGGGTCTAAGTAAGTTGCGAACCCATTTAACGCCCATATTATTTTCAGCTTTACCATTTTAATCTTTTTTATGATCCATTTACTAAATATAACTAACTCATATAACAACTCAACCCATCAAATATGAGTTATATGAGTTAAGAAATGGGTTTATGACCCATTTTGACAGATCTCTGAAGAGCCTTTCTTGTAGACACCCTGGAGAATTTGGTGCGAAGTTTAGGGTTTGATGGGGTTCGCCTGTTATTGGGGGCACTATAGCAGGCGCAAGCAAAAGTTTAGTGCATGGAATCACACGATACAAAGTTCAATTGTAATAGAAAGAAAATTAGTGAAGATTGAAATTGCTTATGAATAAGCTCCTCTCTGAAACCGATTCAAGACCAATGACTTTCTAATTGCTGTTGTTCCAAGGGCTGCCTCTTCATTCTTCTGTAACTGTTTCTTTTTGCGTCCTTGTGTTGCATCAGGGAACAGCAGATGAAGTAGTTGATTTCTCTCACGGTAAGCAACTATGGGAACTGTGTCAGGAGAAATACGAGCCCTTGTGGCTCAAAGGAGGAAATCATTGTAACTTAGAACTGTACCCAGAATACATCAGACATCTTAAGAAGTTCATATTAACAGTCGAGAAATCACCTTCTCGAAGGAGTAGTTCGAGGAAAAGCATAGACGGGGTGGAGCATTCGAGGAGGAGCACAGAATATTTTGATGCTCCAAGGAAGAGTACCGACCGGAGGGAGAAACCGAGAAAGAGTACAGACAAGCCCGAAAAGCTTAGAGTCCCAAACCACAAGTATAGTAATGTGGAGAGGCCAGATAAGTTAAGAATTCCCTTCGACCACGTGGAGAGATCTCGGAGGAGCGTGGAGTTTTATGAGAAACCTCGGAGGAGTATCGACCAGCAGGTCGAAAAAGGGCGCAAGAGCGTCGACTGGTTGGACAGACTACGTTCTGGGTAAGCTGTTCAGAACTTTTTTTCACTTCATTTTTTCTTTTATCGGTGTTGGGTGGGATTAAGTTGAGGTGAAAAGATTGGTATAGAAACAGATAGACAAAACAGAGAGGGCATCAGTGGGATTTAACCTTTGATTCATTGGTTTGGCATTTGACATATAATGTGTTAACCACCTGTACTTTTTCTCTTGGGAGTCCCTTTCAAGACAGATTGATTGTACTGCAGACTTTGGTGTGATGGAATGGAAAGTCTTTGCGTAGAGAAGCTAGTTGTGATGATCCTTGAATCTATCATATCTGACCACATAATCTGATGCCTCGATGCTTTTATGGTCCGATTAGCATTGTTCTAAAAGATGACGCCTTTGGGTCAAATTCTAGGTGCTCTTTAACTGATGTAATTACTTTTTGTAGGTACAATAGGGGTCGAAACTAATAACTTGGTTCTTAATCCTTCTCGGCAAGAGGGAACCATTTGATTGCAGCAAGATTCTTGAAACATTCACAGTTTCAGACAAAGAAGTGTCATCTCGGGCAAAATCGACACGCCATCTTTCGCACTAGTAAATTGTGACCGACGCCGCTTCTCCCCCGCTGAAATGCTACATGATATTTGCATAAGATGTTAGTGCTGATCTTTCCATGGATGAGACCTCCCAACTAGTTAAATCTAATGGGCAACAAAAGAAAAAAGAATCAGAAAACAACAAAACCGGTCGAAACTAAAACAGAAAAGCATGTCAGTTAAAATTGTTAATCCAATATTATCTGGAATCTCTATCTCTTTAAACTGAAAACTATAGCTTTGATTAAGGAAAGCATTGAAGATGGGAACATCATCTTTTTCATCTCTGTTTTTGGAAAAGCTTAGCTGGTTAAAACCTGTACAAAGAAGTATTATTGAAGTTCAGTTTCATGTAACTTTCATACAAAACTGAGCCCTTGAAGAAGATGATCACAAGCAAAAGCTTCTGAGAGGCCAGACTTAAAGGGCAAGCATCGTTTCTGGTTTTTCGACTCCCAATAAGGCACGCCATCCACTTCCATGTGCCAAGCTCTCTACTCATTATAGAATTTGGCCTCACACCCTCTCTCCACTTTCACACCGAAAGTGAAGGTCATACCTTTTCTTCTGCTTCTTCTTTTTCTCCCCCCAAAGATATTCATGAATATATCAATTGCATAGTCATTCTCTCGATTCTTGCAAACTTACATAAGATTAGTAATAAGTTGCACATTCTATTATTCTGATAGGCTCACCATCATCCATAGAAGATAATTCGCAAATTAACCAACCATACGAAAACGAGGCGACATTATATCAGGATTAGCAGTTTTCGCCATGTCGGATCGAGCATGGACTGCATCGATGGTTGAGATTCTCTTAGCATACGACGACCCGTGTCTCGGTGAGAACTAACTGTGTTCTCTCCTCTCTGTGGGGGCTTATGATATCTGGGTCGGTTAAGCCCTTTGAGCGTAGAAGTGATGAGTACCCATTACATTACGCTACTCCAATTCCACAAGCAAGCGTTTCAGTTTGACTGATTAGTCCAATCGCAAGATGCCCTCCGTTACTGGCTCCAGAATCTCTTCAATTCTGCTCTTTAATCAGCATTATGAATCTCGCTAACCTGCATGGGTCACGCATATTAAAAAATTATAATAAAAAAATAGCATTGAATAAGAAATGACATATCTCGGATGTAATATATATATTGTCCTGCTAACAAAGCTGTGGCTAATAACATCACACAGCTTATTCTTGCACGTAATGTGATCAGATTGAATTATTCTCATATGAAGATCATCCGCTTTCTTAAGCCATACGGGTTGCAGTTGCACAATCACTAATACCATAATTAGCTCGATGCCCATTAGTTTATCTGGTAGATAAGAGTCAATTAATTACACATTAGGGAGAAAAATAAATCGGCGGTCCTCTGACACCGAGAACCCTGATACTTATAAATTACCTTCGAACCGTGCGAATTCGCTCAACCCGAGATGTACAGCTGCACGCGTCAGATGTATGTTTGAACTGACTTGCCCAATTCTAAAATCCAATTTTGAACATGACCCACTTGTTTAAAGCGTTCACCTTCATAACACCATGTCACTTGGTACATCGATTAGCATCTTTCGAGGATGAAGGTGACGATCACGAACTATGGTGGCCCTCCTAAGCTAAATGTACGAGGAATTAACATATGTAGTCCCGAAATTAGGATGACTTGCACATAACAAAAACCCTCCCAAAAAAATACTGCAGTTCACACCCGAAAGGCAAGGTGGTTTCGGTTGAAGACGAAAGGCAGTTATGAAAGGCTTTTGATGTCCCATCTGCAACAAAATCGTGGCCCCTCGATCAGCAGCGTCATCCAAGAACCAGCAACCATGTCTCGTCACCCCACCACTCTCCTCATTTATCATCCTCATCTTCTGTTTTTTTCTCGTGCGTTGTCTACGTAATCGCGTGTTCGGCATGCAAAGATCACCGCAATGTTTATCAGCATTTCCATTTAGATCTCGTTCTGGTGTTCGCAGGGCGTCTGATGAGCTTGCAAAGTCATACGCATTGCTCTAAAACTGGGCTTGCTTGTGCGCTTTGATCTCCTCTATTATGGTAATGAATGGGGTGTGTGATTGTTGATGCCCGTAAGTAACTTGTGACTTCTTCGGCTATCATCCCTTGTTCTCTTCTCGCATCCCCATTTTTTATATATATCGTCGTCGTTTTCATGTCATTCCTCTATATAAACCGCACTCCACTCCTCCAAACTCCCCACATCCTTCATACCATTACATTGCAGTGAGCTTGAGTTTTCCAATACGAAATGGGGTTCAAGACACTCTTCGTAGTTGCTTTGGCGCTCATGTCGATCCTCGGGATCGCCGAGAGCTTCGACTTCCACGAGAGGGACCTGGCGTCCGAGGACAGCCTGTGGGACCTGTACGAGCGGTGGCGGAGCCACCACACGGTGTCCCGGAGCCTCGAGGACAAGCAAAAGCGGTTCAACGTGTTCAAGCAGAACGTCATGCACGTGTACTGGGTGAACCTGCAGGACAAGCCCTACAAGCTGAAGCTCAACAAGTTCGCTGACATGACCAACCATGAGTTCAGGAGCTTGTATGCGGGGTCGAAGGTCGGCCACCACAGGATGTTCCGTGGTGTGCGGTGCGGCTCTGAGAGCTTCATGTACGAGGAGTTCACTCCGGTGCCCCCGTCCGTCGACTGGAGGGAGAAAGGCGCAGTCACAAACGTCAAGGACCAAGGCCAATGCGGTGTGTATATAATTCACTTCTCGTTTTTATAAGGTCACAAGTCACTGTGCATCATATGATTCTTCACGGCTTTGTTTGTGATGGAACAGGTAGTTGCTGGGCATTTTCGACCGTGGCAGCAGTCGAGGGCATCAATTACTTGAAGACGAACAAGCTCTTCTCTCTTTCTGAGCAAGAGCTGGTGGACTGCGACACCACACAAAACCAAGGGTGCAATGGCGGGCTCATGGATTATGCATTTGAGTTCATCAAGCAAAAGGGAGGCATCACGTCCGAATCAAATTACCCTTACCTAGCTACCGATGGGACCTGTAACGTTGCCAAGGTAAATTAATCAGTCTTAGCTCAACTCAACTCTATAGCCTTTGAAATATCGTCATGTGACCTGTTAATTGCTCTTTCGTATCGCAGGAGAATTCTCCGGTTGTGTCGATCGATGGACACGAAAATGTACCGGTCAACGACGAGGATGCGTTGCAGAAGGCGGTCGCTAATCAGCCCGTTTCTGTGGCCATAGAAGCAAGCGGTTCAGATTTTCAATTCTACTCTGAGGTAAAAATTACTCAATATAATCCAATGAAAATTCCCGGAAATTCAGATTGCACGGCAGAAAGTAAGTTTGACATGTTACAAACTGATTTTACGGAACTTTAAAAGAAACGATTCATTTATGCAAATACAAGGATTAAAATGATATAAATCCTGCTTAACTTGGGACAGTGACAAGGAATTAACCATTGACGTTCCTACAACAGTTGATTCTTGCTTTTGAAAGTGGCCTTATTATGTTTCAGGGTGTATTCGCTGGAAACTGTGGCACGGATCTAGATCACGGAGTCACGATCGTCGGCTATGGGAGCACCCTCCAGGGAACAAAATACTGGATTGTGAAGAACTCATGGGGTCCGGAATGGGGCGAGAAGGGCTACATAAGGATGGAGCGCGGCATCGCTGCTAAGGAAGGGCTTTGCGGCATAGCCATGGAGGCCTCATACCCCATCAAGAACTCCTCGACTAATCCCGTCGGAGTTTCATCTCCTGTTAAGGATGAACTTTAGGCAATGAGTCAAGATTGATTACTGATCAAGTTTCTTGGCTTTCATTCGTTACCTCTGTTTGAAGTGGGCATGTCGTGTGTCCACATAGACACAAATAATGTCTGCACCCAATGATTCCACAATACGTGTTTATAGGTCTCATATGCAGCAAGATATATTGGTCTTTCCTAGAATTGTTTCTACTTAAATGATGCAAGATCTACGATGATTAAATTCCTCTGTCCTGGCTCCTCTGCATGATGCACCTCCATCTATATTGATGGAGAAACAATCACAGCACGCAAGTGGCAGCTACCGCAATCGTCCAATCAGAGAGTCGTCAGCACAAAACCTGAAGCGGAAAGACTCAACCGCCACCCAGTTTATCAGCGATACGAGTGCCGTAGCATCCCGATCCGCATCTAAAGTTCTATGCCTGATAGCATATAAATGAGTTAGTCCTGAATTTTTGAGCTTCAAGTCTCCCACTGTTAAGCTTCCATAACATGTTGACTCACTTCAAACGCATCTTATCTGCATAGCCCACGAGCAGGACAAAGTACACTTCCATTAGAAGTTAGGTCCACAACAAAAAGGCCCATTAAGCGAGCCCATGATAACCCTGTACGTAATACAGCACGATCCCTACTCCGGTACTTCCCTTCGATCCATCCGCAGCAAATGAGGGCCCGTCAAATACAAGCAATGACAGGACGACTCTATCGAAACAATTATTACGTCAGCAATTATGACATGATCAACAACAACAAATGCTAAGAAGAGTCTTGTAAAGTTTCATCGCAGCCTGAATGTCAAATTCGGACCACAACTAAAACAAGACAGAGCCGCACAAATTGACCCTCTGATTCTTGCCGCCCCTCGTGCCTAATCAACAGTTCTCTACACGTAACATTAGTTGGGTCTAAAGCAAAGAATCAAGTATGAGAGACAACCAAAAGATGCCCACTCCATCATTACATTTAAGAAAGCGTGAAACTTCCTGAGCATGGATCAACCACAGAGAGCGAGTGATTCATGAGTTATCATTGAGACAGGCACTGAATACACATGTGGGTCTTTTCCGTGTCCAATTGGTCTGTTGAAACATTTTGGTTTCATCAACTCTTTTTTTCTGTCTAGGATGCTTCTCATAACCCCCCACTATTGCAACAAAGAGTATCTTTTGCTGTTCACGTAAGCCCTGCAATGAAAGCCAGAGCAAGTGGGTAGAAGAATCAAGGAGGAGGAATGGTCTGCAATGTCTGCTTGGACCCACGAGTAGTGGCCTATAAAAAAAGATCACTTACAATTGTCCTTGAATGAATTTCTCTATCAAAAGTTAAAAGGGAAATGGTCCTAAACCGATCAATTTGACTTCTAAAGATCCGGCACAAAGTAGTCCGCCGAGGACAACACGCGAGAAAATTTTAGATTCTGTGGTGTGGATCTGTCGCAGCATGAAGAGCCCTTCGAATGATGAACAAGCTCTAGGAAATATCTCTGAAGGCGGGGACTGTAGGGACTCGGAAGATTCCTTTGTCATATTATAACTTTTTATTGCCCTTTGAAAGCTGTCGACCACAATTCAAAGGATGATAAGTCACGTAATCTTATGCAAAACAAATTCTTATTGTCTAAAATGAAAGTTCAATTCTTTAGGATCATTAGGGATGATCGGTTCCAGGATGGATAGATTCCAAATTCGGAATCTAAAACCTACCATGTTATAACCGGTTCCCAGTTTTTGGAACCTAAAACCTACCATATTCGCCCCGGAACCTAAAATCTAGTTTCATTTTTTTCTAGCGAAATAATATGAGTAGCAATGAAACGATTCAAAGTAAAAGATGAATAATAAAAATCACTATCCGCCAAAAGCAACAATCCCTAAGCTGAGCAATAAAAATTAATATTCACCAAAAGCAACAATCCAAAATATAATAATAGTATGATCTACAGATTTTTTTTCTAACACAAGCTAAAAACCGGTCCAGGTGGGTCTTCACTTGGAACCAGGAATCAGGAACCGGACCAGTTCCAACCGGTTCCCAAAAAATGTAACCAGCTCCTGGATCAGTTCAAACAAGAACCGGTTCCCGGATCTATTTTTCGGGTGATCCGGTCCGGTTGCACACCCCTAAGGATCATTAGTGCATCAGAAATAGAAAAAGAAAAATTCGTTAGAATAATAAAGGTTCAATGCGGCATGGAGAAATCGTAAGCCCATGAAGAGAAAGTCATGAAATTCAAGTAAATTGACAAAGCATTATCAGAAACTGCATGGAATTTGGCAACTTGCTTATGTGACAAATCTCGTTAATTACGATCTTTTTTTTTTTTTTGGTCGAAATAATTACGATCTTAGCTATAAGAAATTCGCTCGACTCGCCGTCTTTCTTTTGTATTGATTAACTTGAAATTGAAGATATTACTCTGGCTAGTGTAATGGTTCAGTCAGTCAAGCACATCTAGGATTTAATACTCATTTCTCCAATGATGCTAAACATTTTTTTTGTTTTTGGTCGTGAATGGTGCTAAACATTAAACAGTTAGGTAACCTATCAGATCATCCCTCGTACCTTGACAAAGTTTCTTCGAATTCACAGCATCAAGTTGACTATATCCTAACTGCTTCAGTTTTAGAAGACATTTCACCAACTTTATTTGTCTTGTGGTCCCTCCAGTCTCAAAATTTTCCACAGCAAGAACAGAGAACGACACTTTTTTAAGGTGCGAAGCACACCGCTCAACGCTAATTGATAAGGAGCAAAGGTGAGAAAGTAAGAGAAGGACAGCTCTGTTCATTACAAAATCACCACAAGTTGCAGCATACATGTGACAATTTCTATTTGCTACATTTCGGGCAATTTTCTTCGCTGAATCTGCATTTGCCCGTCGAACGTTATGAACATCAAAAGACTATACGGTTGGGTAATATAAAGACCCCCATAGATAACTTGCATCTGCATCAACTTGAACATCTATAATTATATTATAAGCAACAATTCCTGCCTATTATACCAGCGAGCGTTGAAAGCACATTTTATCGATTTGATCTGGTCATAAGCCGCAAAAAAGGTGCTGGCTCAAGACCAGATTCCCATCTTTACAGGTCCGCAACTAACGAAATGCTAATGGCTCGCGATTGGCGACAATCTCATGCTTCTAATGCCGCGCTCACTTACTTCCTCTCTCGGTTCCCCTGCTCTCTTCCTCTTGGGCTGAGACAAGGAGGACAGGACCTTCGCCGAGATGAGTTTCTTCGCCAGCAGCTTCCAACGGGCATCGGCTTTCCTCTTCTCTTGATGCATTCGCAATTTGAATTGCCTGTTAAAATCACCAAGACAGCAGATACAAATTAATGATCCTCATGACTCATTACACACCCCAAAGAAGAACATCGACACTGAGCTTTTCGGACCCACAAAAGATATTTATTTGCGCGAGATTAAACCCGTTAAAGACATGAGATTCTTGGATTCTAGTCAATGAGTAAGAGGCCAACAGAATTCATTTGGCAGACATCATGATGAGCCAGCTGTCGTGGTTGATAATATCCCAGTGGTTCCAAACTTCCGACAACATGATGAACTCCAAAAATAGTCCCAATCTGACCCTACAATCCCACTAAAAAAGTGTCCCTGTTATTGCTAGGAGCCTCTGCAATGTAGCGAAATGCTAATGACAATTGACTGACGGATCCGACGACGGACCCAGGTTGCCGTCGTGTCATGTCACTGCTGATGTCTTATAGCAGCCAGCCACTTAGAAACCACGTTGGAAACATTCAAATAATATCGACCTAGTCTATTTAGAAACAGTCAAGATAAGGTATTAGTCAAATTCAATTATTCAAGTCTCTGCTTATCGTTCATATCTGGATTTGACATGAAAATAATTATGGAAGAGTTCCAACCAATTTGCTGGATTAGAAATCTACTGGGAGTTTGAAACACATCAATTTATCAGGCATGTCTGACAGATATTTAATGCTTTGCAAACAACACACGATTCGATACGAAGACAAAAAAATTCAAATTTGGCAGGTAAACGCGAAACGTCAGCCCTTTCATTTACCTGCAAAGGGGAACCCGGCAAGAGTCGGGCTGATCACAGATCGAAGAATGCAATCTGAGAAGCTGCCACATCCTCTTGCATCTCGAGCAACCTCCGCCGACCCGCTTCTCGCAAGTCGCGAAATGCTTGATCGAGAGCTGGATGCCATGGCAGATGGCGAACTTGCCGCACGGCTCCTTCTTCCTCGCGGGCTCGGCATCGCACGGCCCGACGCTCGTGCAGCCCTCCGTGCATATATGGTCTAAGCACTCCATGGCCTCACCCAACTCCAGATACAGGCTCTGATCCTCCTTGTTCCTCCTCCTATTCTTCTTCCTCTGTTTCACAGTCAATTCATACAAGTTTGAGAAACAGTTAACACCTTTTGCACTCGAGAATTGCACTGTTCGTTAATTTTCGCAAGCTATGGTCAAAATCAAATTCACTTTTTTTTTTCATTTCTTGGTTGATATGCAAATATAACCCGAGAAGCAAGGAAATTTAGATTGACAAGAAAAGACCGTGGAAAATGATGACCCATGAATTGCTTGCTTCTGCCTAAGGTAAGGAAATGAATATAATAACACAGTCAAGACTTCGAATTTCTTCTGGGATGTGCCCATATTGCAATTTTACCTAGCTACTTGCTCCTCGAAACGTGCGTAATCAAAACTCTTTCCTAGTATAACGTGTTCTCCTATTTCTCCGAAACAAAAGAATTGGTCGTCGGACTATAATTTTCATGTACATAACATGTTGGCACCGTTCTTGACCAATCTTTTAACGATGCACGGCTAATCAATTTTTCCATTGATTCCAATACATGAATCTCGAGCTGAGCCTTTGACCACTCACGGTCAAATCCAACCTTGCACGCATAGCATGAACTTATGTGAGAACGTACCAATTCGGCTTCGTCCATGAACCGCAAGATCTCGAGCTCGAGCCACGGGTCGTAGTTCTGCAGGAACTTCCAGCCCTCAGTCGCCTCCACGGACTTGAAATGGGCGTGGACCAGCTTCAAGCACTTGAGGTAGAGGTCCGGAGCGTCGAACAGCCTCGCCAGCTGGAGGACGTCCACCACGCTCTCGGCCGTCAGCCGCCGGATCAGCGCCCGGGTGCACCGCTGCTTCAGCTGCGGGACCAGGTACACATGGGACAGCGCCAGCAGGTGGATCCCGTACTTCTCCATCTGGTCCTCCGTGCACCTGCACCGCCAGGGGGGGGGCATATCCTCAGTCATTTGATGAACACCATTGATGCATTTTATCTGGACCTGACCATTTCTCCGACAATGCACTCGCGTGGTGAACGTGTAAAGATGCTATGGCAGTTAATTGTAATTTAGCGAAGCCTGTAAAGATTACTCTTTTAAGTGGCGGTGATACTTTAGGCGGGATCACACGACAGTAATTACTTTGGATAACATGTCTATTCTATTCTGAAATGGAAAAAAAAATCCACAAGAAATTTAATGTGATCATGGACAAGGGCAAGCGGATCGAAGATTCAAGAACCAAACCTCGAGGAATAGAGGAATCCGACGAAGGCCGAGACGGCGTCGCAGGGGACGCCGAGGATCGGTATGACCCGCTCGGAGCTCCGGTGCTTCCGAGGCTGGTCTATGATGTTCTCCAGCACCGGTGACACGGATGCCTTCAATTTCAAATCCACCAAAAACAAGAACATACGAAAGACCGATGAGCACCCAGTATTTTCGAAAAACTATAACGAAGAATCAACTGAAAATTCTCGTTCATCGAGATCACTAGTAACTCGAACAAACAAAGATCGAAGAAGACGGATGCGCTTTTTCAGTTTCTCCTACGCGTCGTGAAATACCAAGTAAAAAGCAGAGACGTCATCTCTGTTTTCCTACCAGAATGCCAGAGTGGGCGGGGATGCGAAGGCCGCCGGAGGTAAGGATCCAAACGTCCGGCTCGGGGAGCTCTCGGCGGAACGGGCTCGCGCCTTCCGCCAGCAAAGAGGGTCCGTACGCATTGCCGGAGAAGTCCTCCGGCGGCGAGGCGGCGGCGGCGGATGCTGGGTCAGCGTTGGAGTCCTCCATGTGCACACGGAAAGAGAGAGAGAGAGAGAGAAGAAACACAGATGGGCTGGTTGGTGGGGGAGAGAGACCGAGGGAGGCTGCGTGATAGGTGAGGGGAGGAGGGTCCGAACTGGTGTGCGTGCATGAATTTATAGACAGAGCTCGAAGGAAAAGGAGAAAAAGGAAGAATCTTTTAGGGGACGGCACAGCGAAACGACGGTGTGGGACTGTAGCGCAAGCAGCAGCAGCAGCGGCGGAAGAGAAGACGGTGTGGTGCGATTGGGACTAACGGGAACGAAGCTTTCTCACTGCTGCAAAGTTGCGTTTGGGCTTAAGTCCTACCTACCCGTAAAAGAATCACGGGGATAGTCCAACCAATCAAATTTGTGACGGACGAGGATGTCCGAAGTTCTTCCTCTTCTCTCGTCTTGTCTGGTATTGGCTTACGTCCTTGCTCGCGCGTTTCATCGCGCCGGGGAAAATGACGTAACTACCCCCCTATGCTTCGGCTCGACGTGCGATGCCGTCTCTCGGCTTTTAATTTGTTTAATGTGATCTCCAAACTTTAGTCCAATGTACAATGCCGTCCTCCGAACTTTAAATTTGTTCGATATGATCATTATACTTTTGTTATATGTTCAATTTAATCTAATGACTGTATGAAAATATTCAACGTCATGTATCAAAAGTTCATGGACCATATTGAACATATTAAAAGTACATTGAGGGTATTGCACATTGGGTTAAAGTTTGGGGACCACATTGAACAAATTTAAAGTTCAATGATTATATTATACATTTGACCAAAATTCAGAAATCATTTGTCATTTATCATTTATCATATTTAATGAGATGTGCCATGGCTTCCCTAAAGGAAATGGAGCATGGAGTGCCTCGAGAAAAACCAAGAGTGCCTCCAGTCTTTCACACTCAAAACGGTCATATCATCCTACTACTTTGCGTGGATGGTCAAAGGGAAATACCGAATACTGTCTCGTCGAATCCGTATCATGTTACTACTTTGAATCCCTTGCTTTTAGAACCTCCAATCCGCACCTCGAAATTTCGTTACCGGACTTCGAGTTCCATCAGGATCGTTTCTCATCTTCGACGACAATTCCGCTTGTGTTGTTTTATGTTTATCGATGTGAGGGTAAATTTGACGGCCCGGGTTAGCGCCCGGCGTAAAATGGAGAATTTTAAAAGTTCAGGATGCAAAATTACCATGCGAATGACTGAAACGGGAGAAAGGGGAAGTGAGAATTTCTTTATCATACTTTGTTTCACTTTATTCGAACGGCATGTGTATCAGGCGATACTCGTGTTTTTCGTGGACGAAGAGAATATAGTCGAGTACCAACACCTTTTCCCAAAAAAAAAAAAGGAAAAGGAAGAAAAAAAAAAACACTTCGAGTTCCGTGGATGCAGAACGAAACGTCCCTACCAAAAGAGGGTAGGTCCATTGTCTTTCTCCATGAAAAACTTAAATGACATGCAAAGCCATGTGACCGAGTTGCTGAAATGCATTATGGCATCGTCCTTGAAATGGTAGAGAGATTTTTTTTTTATAGCGAAATTGGCCGTTCTACTCTGTAAAATAATTGGTACGAAATAACAAAAGAAGCCCGCATCGCCCGACTCTAGAATTTATATACTCTTTATATACAATCTCCTTACATTTATTAATTCGAGCATTTGAATTGAGCTTTCTAACGAAGTATCAAGGTCGGATCTGGCCCACGCGCGTGTTTCATTCTTTTGACTCGATTTTCTGGTGGATGCTTCTCCAACCCTCTTGATAGTGAGACGTTAGCCACCGAGCTCCGATTTAAGGTTTGACTTCGATTGAGCCATCGATTCCTGAATTTGACCAGAACTTTCCTGGCGGTTGACGGGAAACAGACATTTGCTCTTCTTCCTTTTTTTTTGAAAATGCCACTTGGGAAATCCCCGTTGAAATGGTGTTTGGTAAAAATAATTGCCAAAAAATAGGTTGGAATTTTTTGCAATGGGACTTTGAAATTGTCTTATTTATTAAAAAAAAAAAATATAAACTAGTCGCTAGGCGCCACCGGTCCGCTGCCGCCGGGTCGGCGACCGGCTCGCCGGTGTCGCCCGCCCGTGACCTCTGCCCTTCTCCCTCATCGTCTCCGGTAAGAAGATGAATTTCAAACCCAAAAAAAAATGACAGTCCAAATCTTTAGTTTAAGTAGCCTTAATGAACCAACCCTTCTTCTTCTTCTTTTTTTCCTCCCGTGTAATCGGAAAGAAAAAAGGAAAAATAATAAAAATAAAGATCAGAAACAGGGCACCACCGGTACCGCTAGCCAGCCAGTCAAGATTTTCAGTTCCACCTTTGCCCCTGCCTCGTCGGGCATATTTCACTTCAGGACACGGACGACGCGATGCGCGATTTTTTTGAGCTGACGTGGAAGGGGATAAGCCCGACAACCAAAAGACCGCGCTTGTCAAAGGGGAAAAAAAAAATACCAATGACCCATAAACTTTAGACAAAATGTGATATGTTTCACAAACTTTTAATATGTTCAATATAATCCTGAAATTTTAAATTAATATGCAATATGGTCTATTAACTTTTCAAGGACTACATTTAATACGTATCAAAATTTTAAGGACTATATTGAATAAATTTAAAGTTCAAAGGCCACATTGCATATTCAAAAATCATATTATATATAGGGTTAATACCATAAAAAATTCCAAACTATACCCATTATGACACATTTACCCCAAATTCTTTTTTGTGACACAAAAAATCCGAACTATGCATTTTGTGATATATCTGCCCTCCGTTATGATTCCGTCCAAAATTACCGTTCATCGCACTGTTCATCGTCTTCTTCATGAAATTTGTTACTGTTCATCGTCTTTTCCACAGCTTTTACGAGTGTTGTTCATCACGTTTGCTTTCCCAAACTCCTCTGATGCTCTTTGCTTCTCTATCCACTGCCACCTAGCAAAAAAGCTTATTGTTCATCGTCTTCTCCGCGAGGAAGAATGGTACTTTCTTGTCCAGAAAACGAAGCTTCGAGGTGGTCGAAGCTTGAGTGGCTGCCATGACCGCTCTAGCTCGAAGCTTGGCTTGAGGATCTGACCTCGACCTTCGAAGCTCACGGGTAGTTGGCAAGCGGCCAAGGCCAAGCTTCGAAGTAGCTTGAAGATTGAGCTTCGAAGCTCACGGCCACCATGGTCGCTCGAGCTTGAAGCTTGGCTTGAGGGTCGGGTCTCACCTCGATCTTCGAAGCTCGTGGATGGTCGGGCAAGCATCGACGAGAGCCGCCGGAGGTCGAAGTAGCAGTGGGCAGTGAAGCAAGAGCGTCGGAGGAGGAAGAGTGCGATGAACAGTACTTCGCAAAGATGTGGAGAAGACGATGAACAGTAAAAAAATTTCATGAATAAGATGATGAACAATGCGATGAACAATGATTTTGGACGGAATTGTAACGGAGGGTAAATGTGATGCAAAATCCATAATTTCGGATTTTTGACGTAACAAAAAAGAGCTTAGAGTAAATGTGTTATAATGGATATAATTTAGAACTTTTTGTATCATAAAAAAAAAATTAAGGTAAATGTGTCACAATGAGTATAATTTGAAGTTTTTCGATGGTATTAATCCGTATATATAATATAAAAGTTTATAAATTATTCGTGTCATTATCCTTTTGTGGAACATGAGGGCCAATTTGTACCGGACTCCGTCCTAAGGCTTCAAATAAAAATAAAAATAAAGGTGAAAAACTCCACTTGTTGTTCCCCAGTTGCAAAAAATCTTATCCTAAACTTAGCATGGCATTGACACTGATGGTAGCCCAATCATGACATTGATAAGCCACTCCAACTTATCTCGTGAATCGTAAAAAGGTTCAGTTCGATCCGTCCCGATACCATCGTGTCTCGTGTGCTCAATCAAGTCAAGCTCGAGTTTCACGTTACTTCAACGGACCTGCTAGCGAGATCGAGCGAGTAACCAAGTTTTCGCGTAGCCTCTTAAATCAACACGGGGAATTTCCAATATTTTGATCTGACAAATTCGTATGGATGCGAGCAAGCCATTTCCATCCATATTTGTGAGTAAGGTTGCATCCATGAGAGGGCAGCCTTGGCCACGAAAGTTACTTTTGAGGGAAAGCTACTGTAATTCAAACACGGGATATGGCGTGACCAGAGTTCAAAAGGTTTCGACACTGTCAAAACGGGTCAAATGGTGAGGATAAGAAGTCAATATACGACCCCCTTTTTTTTTTTTTTTTGGGTTCTAATAAAGCTCGACTCGAAGAACCAAGCTAGAAGAGAGTGCCAACCTTTTCATATGTTTGAGCAAATAAGTCATGCCCATTTTGACCCAATAATGAGTGCAAGTAGAAATCGAGCAGGGCGTTTCACGCTGGTCTGACCAAAATTGTAATGCCCAGTATCGGTGGTGCAAAGGCCCATTAGGACAGCCGAAAGAGGGCCCAATAAAACCCCACTACCCTTTGCAAAATAGCGCAAGGCTTGTGAAGAAAGGCTTCGAACCGGTCGGCTCGGTGTATGGAGACCTAGCAGGGGAGAAACGGGACGTGCTTTTATGTTAGGGGTGAGCAACCGGGCCGCTTCAATTCGAAAATCAGCTCGAATCGGCCTTATTCAGCCAATTCACAAGGGAATCAGTCCGACTCTAAAAAATGGGAACCGGTCGGCCTTGACCGGTCCGGTTTATATCCCCAAAATCAGCCAGTTTCTACCTAGGCACTTGAAACTTGAAACTGAATCGGTTTAGAACCGGTTTATTGGTCGAATTGGATATGTTTGACATATCAGTAAAAAGAATTGTGTTCACATTTGACACGTGTATATCATCTATTTAACAAAACGAAACGACAAAAAAATAAAGAAACGAAAAAAAACACCATGGCTAGTTCTCGGGTTGATGCCGGAATTAGCCGTTTCGTCCCCAACTTGGTTTGAAGAGCTCAATAGAGCCGGTTCCCGATTCCAAAAAAACTAGAAAAATGACCTCGATAGCATGGGTTCTAAATTTTTCGGGTCCGGAAGTTACTCAATTTGGAACCGATTTACCTCCAAGTCTATGCATCGATTTTGCCATCTGAAGACACATTATTAAGACCGTGCGAGGCAGGGACATGAGCAATTATTATAGTGTTTTACGTGTTGATT